CACTAAGATTTTATAGATAATGTTTTTTACTAAGGACAAATGTGTAACTTGATCCATAAAAAGTCAAATTAGACAATAATTTTTGGATAAAATTTTTTGGGCAAAGTGGACAATAATTATGGGACGGAGGGAGTATTTTTTTGGTGATAGCTACATCATACTCATCTTTGGATAATTAAAATGGGACAAATTGAGTATTAACTTCAACAAATCTGTTTAGAATTTTATATATATATATATAAAGCAACTAGAGAGCTTGAGTTTCAAGCTGAAATAAAACAATGACTAATAATTGACAAATTCATTTGAAAGTGAAGAACGAGTACGTAGTCATAATCAAACCCTTTGGCCGTAGTCTCTATCGATTCCAGAACTGAACCATATATCTCTACTGTAACCATGATTTATTGATGTTCTCCGTTGGTCGTATCAAATCAATACTTAGTTTTGGAGATTTTTAATAGTTTTGTAATAAGTTTCATCCGAAGGATATACGCTTGAAACAAAATTAATACTTTGTAATAAAAATCTAATTGATCAATTCAATTTAGACTTCAGAATTAAGAAAATAAAACCACTCTAATTGAATGAAACATAAAGAAAAAATTTTTTAAAAAAAAAACGTATCACGTAAAATGCAAAGAGGGATTTAGTAATTTAGTTATGGTTGACCAAATGGGTAATTTAGTACTTTGCTCACGTCACATGGCAATCATAGGAAGTGTTTGAAAGAGGGATTTTTATTTCTAATATAGTAGGATTTGGCTATTTTTTATTTTTCATAACACAAAGATGCTACTTGGTGGCGAGTTTCAAGTACTCCCTCTGTCCCAAAATTATTGTCCAGTTTGAGTTCTCACTTTTAGTACAATTTGAACTAGAAATGAAAACTCAAACTGGACAATAATTATGGGACGGAGGGAGTATAATATTTTTTAAAATGATTAACTAATTTAAAATTCTATTTTTAGTACACATTTTTTAAAAAATGAAAATAGTAAACTGCTAGACAATTATTTCGCAATGTGAGAGATCTTACCAATTACCTGCAAGGCTGCAACCGCGGATAGATAAAATCACTCTTGAGACACCTTCCAGAGTAACATAAAAAAATAAAAATTGAAGAACCGTATATAACCAATTAGGTTTCAATTTTTTTGTTTTATTTTATTTTTTGCCGATTCTTAACCTGAACAATCCATTCTCATATTGAAACCAAATGACCTTAAAAGACAATACTCAAATCTGGACGGAACCAAAATCCCAACTTTAAAAACAACAAAATCACCGAACCGAATTGTCTAAACTATTTGTAATCCTAATCTGGCCAAAATAATTTTTCTTGGCATGATTAATGAAGCACGTACGCATAAGAAGTCCGTAGGCTTTATTAAATCTAGTTTGGAAATTGATTCTTTAATAACCAGAAGACCCTGCATCGGTTTAATAAAACCGAAGCAAAATACGGGAAAAAAACTGGAGCCGAAAACATGAACGCATTATCCTTCAATCCGGATCCTTAATTATAAACTTGAAAAACCAATTTGTGCCCAACCAAAATAACATCTAAGTGATGTTAATTTCTCCGAAGTCGGTAGGCACAGGATTGAATTCATTACCGGAATCTCTATACAAAGTTGGTCATCGAAACCGAAGTCATAAAGCCTAAGCGGCTTTGAACGAACCGAAGCAAAGCAATCAATTTTGATATAAAACTGAACTACATAACTATATATCCGAATTTTCCAATAATTAATATGAAGGGAATTCTGATACTATTTGTTGAATAAGCCTAAACCATGGAGACCACCATTTGTCAAAGTATTGAAAATTATACGAAAGTCAATTCGGATTTAGTCTTCCAGATAATTTCATAAAACCCTTGCGTAAGACCAAACTTAAATTTACATAGATAACTTTAATTGGGTCTATACTTTAAGATAAACTTATAAAATATAATTTATTATATAATTTCTCTGACCCAAAATTATTGTCTAATTTTGATTTTATACTTTTAGTTCAATTTGTATGAAAAATAAAAAGTCAAATTGGACAATAATTTTGGGACAAACTATTAGTGTATTAAGTCCACATAAATCTAACATGATGACGTCAAACTAGTACTGCTAAATCTATACTCATAAATGATAAACATGTAAGCCCAGGAAAAAAAAAATCAATTTGAACTTTGAAGTTACAATATTTTCCCGTTACAACATATTCATGTACATTACACATTTTCCTCAGCTTACATCTCTAGCTCTGGAAAGGTACAAAACAAATCCTCAAGTTATTACTATTACAACAACAACAACAGATATTGAAAGGAGGAAAAAAGAATGATAATGACTAATCGTCACTCTTGTTATCAAAAGCAAGCAAAATTGATATTATAAATTGATAGATTTTTTTATTTTTATTTTGTTGAGTTCATATGGATATTAATCGAGGTACTATAAATTCTCAATGATCCCCACCGGATTATGCAAACTCAGGATTCATTTATAGTGCCTCATTGTACGTAGATCATATTTTTTATTTGCTTTTCTTCCATTGTTGCTGCTTCAAAATCAAAAGAAAACGGCTTTGAGCAATCTGGTTCATAAGCAAGTGTTTCTTCAATTGCAAAACGAAAGAACCAAAAACCGCGTCTTTTTAGGATTGGAATTGCTTTTTATATGCATACCGTTAATTTACCTTGAATTTATGTATAAGCGTGGAAACTCCAAAGTCAAAAAAACTCTTTATCAATTAAGATCTTCATGGAGAAATACTTCTCCTGATTTCTGTTACTTGAATTTAAAAACCACCATTATCAATTGGTGAAATTATTGAGCAATGTCGGAGCTAGAAATTTTTTTCAGTGGGGCACGTATATGTATCAATCAATTAAATTTTTTGTTATTTTATAAGTATACATATACACGTGATTTGCACATGTTTTACATGTAAATTGCATGTGAACTCTACATGAATAATATAAGTTATATACATTTAGGCAAAAATTAAGATAATATATCATGATTAAATTGATAAATATATTTATTAGTAGTAATATTCTATTTAAATAATAAATGACACATGATAACATAAAATAATAAATATTTGTGTGACTAACAAAATAAAAACTACATAAAGGATTTGATTAAAAGTATGCAGATTGATTTTTAAAACTTTTAAAAACTATATACTATTTTCACAATTCTTGAAATTTAGTGGGGGACACGTGCCCAAGTGCCCTCATTACAAATTTCGCCACTCCATGCAATTGAGATCTCATCTATTGTCTTTCTTCGTTATCAGTGTTGGGTTGCTCTTGACTGATTTCATTTTCAGCAAAACATTTGAAATCTTCTCGAAGGTTGGGTTTCTATTAAGAGTGAGGGGGGAAAAAAATTGTTGTCGTTATTGATAAGGGTATGATAAGAAATTCAAAAATTAATTTTTTTGATAGTGGCAGATCAATTTTTGTGTTAAATGATATACTAATTTTTTTTATTTTGTTTTGTTTTAAATGTTGCTATGAAGGATGGTGCGGTTGGGAGCTCTCAACTGGGAGAAGATTACTGACGAGCACCAATACTGGAGGTTCCTGACTGCGTCCTGGTTGGACGAAGGCTTAATCTATTTAATCCCTAATCTGACTTTCCTGGTTGTAATTGGTATTCCCATGGAGATGTATTACGGCTCTGGTAAGTCCTTCAATTTGTGTTTTTGTTTTTTGGTTGAGAGTAAATTCTGCAATTTGGCTAATTAACACACTATAGAGAAAAAAAAAGAAAAAAAGTACTCCGTGTTAATGATAAAATTATATGGGTCTTTAAGGTTTGGTTGTTATTACCCGTAGGTGTGTTTTGCGTAATTAGTAGGAAGTTTCGGGAGTGGTATCATAATTATGGATTAGTCAAGCAGTTGCTATATATATGGTTATAAATACATTGTAATAATCAGAATTAGGGTTCGTCGATTAAGAATTGTAATTGAAACTGAATGTCAAGACCCCATCAAGCAAACTATAAATGAAAATAGTGCATCCTTAACAGGGGCGGAGCTATGCCCCCAACGGTTAGGTCGGGTAAAAATTATATATGCAAATATTACTGGGGCAAAATTTTGTTTATTTTTAAAGTTATAGATATATTTTCACTTTAATAATATATTATGGGTAGTTCAAAAATTTTGAGCTGGGACTAGGCTGTATGTGCTCCACTAAGAATTGGGTCAATAAACTCCGATGGTAGTTTTAATAGGTCGACTGGAGTGGGATGTGCCGGTGGATCGTTGTTCGTGACAGCCATGGTAGGTGGCTAGGTGGATTAATGATGAAGGTAGGGTTTTGTACTATCACAGGATCGTAATTATGGGGTTTATTTCAAATTTTGCAGTTAGCATGGGATTTTGGATATCGAAAGGTGAAGGCGGATGTAGATAATTCGAGCATTCTACTCATGGTGAAAAGTGATGTTAATATTTTTGGAGTCTATGAGGGAGTTGTTTATGGGATTAGGGAGTTGTTGCGTCGTGATTGGACTGTTGAGATTGACCATGTGTTTTGGGAAGCTAATTTCGTGGCTGATTATTTAGCTTCTCTAACTACTCTTGGCCCGATCGGACTACAGAGATTTGAAGCTCCACCGTCAGGTGCTAGACCCTGGTTACAACATGATATTATAGGGGTTGCATATCCTCGAAATGTAAGAATTTAGGCTTTCAGCCTCCTTTCTTGTAACCCAAAAAAAAAAAAAATTCTTTTCATCGATCACTTAAAAGGCGGCCATTTCAGTCAACTAATAGCAATCACCTTATCTCCCGTCGAAGGTTTGAACATATCTTAAAAACTCCATTAACGTCTCGGATTTTTATTCACAACTTTTCCTGTACGTATCCTTAATCAATAATTGGTGAAATTTGAGTAATTATATAATAATATTTTCTAATTCTACTTTAGAAAAATAGTTTATTTTGTTTAATTGAAAAATACAACAAATTAAACTATTTTTCTTGGATGAGAGCTATATTAGAGTAGAAGATTAAAAAAGAGAAACGAGAGAAAACTATTTCAATGGGATAGGGAAATGACAATAAAAGCAAACAAAAACAAAGCCCTAATGCGATTTAAAAAAAAAACAAAACGGTGAATATACATTATTTAGTATCATCCTCCGATACTTGTTCATCAATTCTTCGATATCTATACAACCACGCACAAAAAGAAAAATACCCAAAATTAACAACCCCAATTACAGCAAGGCTCCAATAAAAATTATCAAGCTTCCCTTCATTTATATCGTCCGGCAACCATCCGCTGACCTTCCGAACAAAGTGTATGATGGCGGTACTTAAATAAAAAGCAATTCCAATCAACAAAGATATCATTGCCGTGGAAATGCCTTTGAGTGATGCCGGAAATTCTTGATAATACAAAGCAACTTGCCCCGGAAAATGAAACGCTTCCCCGATTCCGACAAGCATCAATTGTGGCATCAACCATAACACTGAAATGTTTTGATGGTGGGCCGATTGTGCCATTTTGAGTCTCTTGGTTTCAACCAAAGCTGAAATCACCATGCCTAAGACATTAAACAAGTGCCCAATTCCAATTCTTTGAAATGGTGTAGGGATTTTACCAAAAATTTTCTTCCATGATGTTAATAAAATTGTATCATAAAGGAATATGAAAATTGAGGTGGAAATGAGGGAAATCACTAGGATTGATCCGACGGGGAATTGGAAATGTGGTCCTAAGTGACGGTCCACGACTAGGGTTTGAAGAATGGTTAAGCTTGCTTGTATACCAATTGGTGTTCCCAAAAATATGCTACTTGACCATAATGGGAAAATTCTGATCAAAGATTTTAGGTCTTCTACTTCTTCAACAGTGCATATTTTCCACATTTTTGCAATGGAACCATTTGGATTTAAGTCCCCTTCTGTCTTCCAAGCTGCTCTATTCAAAAACCTTCCCAAAAAAAAAAAAAAAAAAAAAATCGATTAGTAAAATTATTTTCGTATGTGAGTAAAAAAAATCATTAAATTTCTCAATATTAATAATGTTTTTGTCAGTAATTGATGTGAATTTTGTATGTGATGTTAGCTAGTGCAAGAAAGTGCTCGTCATGTGCTTTCTATGGCACCTTGTTATCAATTTTGTGTAACCCATTTTCTAACTTTAATCACTAACTAATGTTAAATTAATCATAAAAAATAAAATAATAAGAAAAGAAAACCTGAAGCTCTCCGTGGGTGTTCCAAGTGTTGTCCTTGTCTTGGAATTTCCGTTGGGCCCATTATAATAATCCTCTGAATCTGGAGAGGGCCGAATATGCCTTTTCCTAATACTCGCCACAAGAACCCGGGCAAGGGCAGTAAACGGGCTGCTTTTGGGCTTCACATATCTGTAAAATGTACTTCCCAGCAAGAAGACTAACAGCCCAATAGCATTAGCCGCAACGCATATCCCAAAACCCACAGCCCAACTCACGCTATCTTCAACATAGACAACAGCTGTGGCGCCAATCACAGAGGCAGTGTACAAGGTGAAGAAATACCAGTTGAAATAAGTGGTTTGATCTTTAGGGTTACTGAATTGGTCAGCTCCCATTGTGCCGTTTGTAAATCGGGTTCCTCCGGCGCCGGTGGTTGCTAGGGTAAAAGCCGTATATAAGGCTACATATTGGAGTTTAGAGGGGCTTGAACAAATCGGATTTGGAGCAAGAATATTGCAGGGTTGAGGTCTCATCGAATCAATTGTTACTGTGAGGATCAACAAAGTAATTCCCTGCCAAATATACAACAAAATGGTTGTTTTTAGTGCAATGAGTCAATCAGAACGATAGCGAAAAATTTGTTATACATCTAATAATCAACGACCAATTAAGCATGATATGTTTGTATGGTACTTGAAAATGTAGATTATGGATATATAGGTTGGTTAATTACCAGCAAGGAGATGGAAGATGAAATCCAGATGACGGTGTAGCAGCCGAGAAATGAGTCGGCAAGAATCGCACCGACCACCGGAATCAAGTTGGTGGAGCCGTTGACCACATTCATAACCTGAGCGGCATCAACATTGCTCATGTTGAACTTCTCTATTAGATAGACCACAAGGTTGCTCATCCATCCCGACGCTGCTAGCGTTAAACTTGCCATTGTAACTGCATGCATAAAAATTACACCGACATTAATTTAGTCTCAAAATAACAACAGATCATCTGTATCACTTATTGTAATCAGTTGCGTTTTATATACAAGTACGATACTGTGTGACTCTGAAGTTATTAAACTAATACACAACATGAAGTGAAACAGACAATCTCATGTATCTTTAATTAGGAATCATAGATTCGAAAATATGTATGTATAGTGGAAAAAATTAATGAAAAAGACCAATCATGAAAGGGAAAGTGATCCAGCCGCCTTGGTAACGCCTAGATGAGGCGGACTCAAGCTTGGCTGCCTCCTTGTCGCCGGCAAAAGAGTCATCCATGGCTCCGGTTGCGACAGCAAGCCCTCTAGATTGAGTATCAATTAATATGGGAGAAGTAGATTAAGATGCTAACTCATAGGCAGGCTTGTTAGTCTATACAACCTTCCATATATATTGAATTATTGATATTGCTGTCTTATATTTGGTCACCATCAACTTTTTAAAAAAAAATTTCTTTTCTTTTTTTGGTGCCAAATTTTCAACACCCTTTTTTTATTCTGTCTAATTCGTTAGGTAAAGGATTATAAATATCAACACATAACTTCTTCTCCAGGTAATGAGAAAGATGATTAATTTGCAACCTGATGAATTCGTGGTATGTAATACACAATGTTGATCATTATTATAAGTATATAACTAGTACACAAATTAAATAATGTACTCATTTCATCTTAAAATGACACGTGCAAACATAGTGTTTTTTTTTTTCCGGATAAAGTCACTCGATATATTATATATAGAAATTAAAACTTTTTATGTTTTATTATCTCCCCACTCATCAGTTGTGCACTATTCAACTAGTTAGTGAGTGTCCCTTATTGCATATCGTGATAAGATAGGCAAAAGTAATGCATATTATTTTTACCTTTTTGTTTGTTTGTTTGGGCCAACTCATTTGAACAGGAAAACAGTCATCTAATATTGCCTTCATCAATGTAATACTGCATCATGCAAGATAATTTGAACGCTATTCACAGATCTATGATCGATGTTAAGTAACTCACGTTTCACAATGATTTTAAGTTTTTAACATAATAACAAATCCTATAAGCTATATTTTCAAGAATTAATTATCATCATCGCGCAAACTTCGAATTAAAAATAAAAATATCAGTCATTATATTAAATACGTTCCCTCTCCCTTTTTAAAACGTTGAAAAAAATTAGGGAAAAAAAAAACATCTTGAGCAAGCATGTTTGAACAAAATCTAGCGTGACATAAGGGAAAAAAAATAATAAATAAAAAAATTCGACGAACTCCCCACACGAGAGAAGAGGCTCAACTCGATCTGCACCGATATAATTAACGTGCAGTCTACGAAGCACAATTGTCATTCTAATCATATCCTCATAATCAATCAATTATTAGTGTTACATCAGCTATTTCTGTGATGATTTACTAGAAACCATGGAAGTTTGGGCGATATGATTAATTAAGAAATATTCTTATTCTTATAAAAATATAAATTTTTTTCCTAAGTTTGGATGGAGGGAGTAAACTAGAGCGAAAGAGGGAATGGGTTGTGATCGTGTGAGAAAAAGTTTTCCTGATTTGGAGCCCTCAGCGCACTTGGGAAACAAGGTGTACTGTATTTAGTGGAAACTTATTCTTTTAATTTCAGTGGGGATGCCAGAAAACAAAAACAAATAACACGTTTTGCCCTTTCAATTTGTCAAACAAATAAACCTCAAACATTAACAGTTTGCAGCTTTGCACAATGCACATGGAAACCCATTATACATACAAGAGGCCAACAAGTGCACGGTCCTTGCAGTATGTGGTCACAATTGTGAATGAGCATAGCGCAACGATCAAGAACTCATCGCAGTAGTACGAATTAGTTTGACTGTGATATGTTCATGTATTTTATTTTTATTATTGTTTTTGTACAGAAAAATAAAATAAAAAGAGTTATATTGGAAAGAAAACTTCAGTTACATGGGAAAAACGGCACAAGATAATCATATAATAATTAATAGCAGATTTCAGATTTGACTTTTGAGAGTCAAAGTGTTATTTGTCCTTATGAACAAGGCCTATAAGATACAAAGCTAAGCCAGGATTTAATTTTGCACCACATTTTTAGTAATATCCAGTTGGGGAGATGTTTGCTTAAAAAGCCAAAGAAAATGGCTCTGAGGAAACTGCAATAACAAAGAACCAACTTCATCTTGTAAGGTTTCCTCTCTTTTTTTCAAAAAAAATAAATAAATAAATAAATAGGGTTATACTCTCTCTATCTCATAATTATTGTCCAGTTTGACTTCTCACTTTTAGTATAATTTATACTAGAAATGAAAACTCAAAGTGGATAATAATTTTGGGACAAAGGGAGTACCTGGCTTTAGATTTATTCAATTAGGAAAAAATTTCAGTAGGCGTTCATAGTTGCTCTATAGTGAAGAAGGGTAACTTGTGTTATTACATTTTGGGTGCTCGTAAATTTAATTAATTCGTCCATCACAATATCAGATGTGTCTAACCATTTTAGCTAGCCATGCCACTTGCAAGTTCAAACATTCTTTGTTATACAAAGGCCATTTAGATTCGATATATCTCTGGAATCCAATTTTCATCCAATTTGAAACCACTAGTTCAATAAGAAATATTGGGTATCACCCAACGGTGAGATTTTGTAATATTATTAAGCCTTTTGGCTTCTCTATTATAAGGTCATTATCCATGATAAATAAATAAGGCCATTTAGATGAATTTGTCACGATCTTAACAAGATGCTTAGAATCCGTTTAAATTTCGATCGTCTTCATTTCAAGCTTGTGATTCTTTGAAGAGAGTAGGTACCTTAGCTTGAAAGTTAGTGCCAACAACCGATCCATGAGTCCTATATAATGGAAAGTCCTCTGGTCACCAATTCGATGTCATCTTTAAAGTTTAAAGGTTACCTTGCTAATATTATGTTACTCTCTCGGTTCATTTTAATACAAATTTCAAAATTCAATGTATATAATTTTTTTAGTGCAGAAAGAGTATTATCACTTAAGATTCACTTATTCTCAATTCCCACCTAAAATTAGATCAAAACCTTATAACTATTTCAATTCCTCCTGTCCAGACCATAGTAGTATTGCGATACGTGTACGTATCAAAATTAAGAATTTCGATACGTATCATGTTATGTATCGCAATCGTTTGTGTATTGGTCAATTATCGATACGTATCGTACGATACATACGATACACGATACGATTGCGTATCGTACGATACAAAAACATAGGCAAAAAAAATATATTATTCAAAAAAATTTAAACTTTTGTTTTATAATAACCGTTTAAATTTTAGATTAAGAGCGAATTTCATTTATAATTTGTTTTAAATATATATTATTGATTTATTTCTTTCACAAACATAATCTTTCTCAATTGAAGACAGAAGCGCTTAATAAATTATCATAGTCTAAAAATAATATATTTAAAAATATTATTTTATTCATAATATCATTTTCCAAATCAAGTATAACTAATAGCATGTTGAATAAATGCACTATATGTTTATATTAATTTTCTCACTATTAAATTTATGGCTATAATGACAATTATCATGAAAACTGGTATTTATTACATAGGTTGTACGACCATTATTCTTGTAATGAATGAGTAATTTGTGTAACTTGCAAATAATCTTGAATTCAACTTAATCAATTTATTTGTTTATAGCTGAAAAATAAAAAAAAAGTATAAATATATCAATGACATATGGATTTTATGATATTTATTATTTATTTTATACATATTATTATATTAAAACGTATCTTACGATACGATACGCGTATCATAAATTTAGATTTCCGATACACGATACGTATCACGATTTGATAACTATGGTCCATACTAATAAATATACACAAATTTAAACTAAGATTAGTTCAAATTTGTGTCTTGTAAATGAGACCGGAGTAATCTCAGTAACCTTCTCGTCGAGTGTTTGTTCATCACAGTGACTATGTCGGCATCTGGCCAAAAATGGGTGCAAATATTGAACCTAGTTGACTATAACTAGTGATAGTGGACATGCCTCCTCTTCTCTCCAAACCCACTCACTGGTGAATAAAACTATTCAGACATAACTTTATAAAAAGTCTCAGTTCCTGTCCTACATTTTCATTTGATATTCAGCACTAACTAGGTTGTGATAGTACCCACGATTCTTAGAGCTCCCAAACACACTTGCCAGCAACCTTTTCTTTCTCTTAATGTCAAGTTATTATTGCAAATGATATCACATAAATAGATTTAATTCACTCTTAAACAACCTCAGTAACGAGGTTTGATCAGTTTATTTGTCAAGTGATGTACGTCGTACGACTAAATATGGTAACTAATTATACCATCGCATTTTGCATTTCCTGATCAATGCAGAGTTTATACAGGTAAGAGGACGATTATTCACATTTCATTTGATTCTCAGAGGCGAATTGAAAGATAAGCAGCACTAATTTGAAAGATTTCCCGATCTTCTAGTCTGACCGGTCGAGTGCTCTTTGGAATGCAACTTTAATTGCAATTGCCTCAATAGTATGGCACATTGTATAATTTTGTCAAACTAGTACTGCTATATCCATACTCATAAATGAAGAATCTGTAAGCCCAGAAATAATCCAAATTTGAACTTTGAAGTTACAACATTTTCCTGTTACAACATATTCCTGTACAATACACATTTTCCTCAGCTTACATCTCTAGCTCTGGAAAGATACAAATAACAACTCCAGCTATTACTATTACAACAACAACAGATATTGAAAGGAGGAAAAAAAAAGAATGATAATAACTAATTGTCACTCTTGTTATCCAAAGCAAGCAAAATTGATACTAGGATTTTTATTTTTTTCTGAGTTCATATGGGTACTAATTGGGGTACTATTGATTCTCAATCCCCATCAGATCATGCAAACCCAGGATTTAGTTCTAAGGCCTCACTGTAGATCATATCTTTTATCTGCTCTTCTCCCATAGCTGCTGCTTCAAAATCAAAAGAAAACGGCTTTGAGCAAACTGGTTCATCAGCTTCGTCATGTAATCTTGCTAGGTATGGATGAGCAAGTGCCTCTTCAACTGCAAAACGAATGAACCAAAACACCATCTTTTAGGACGCCGAAATATTCCGAAACTAGTTTTAACAGAAAATGTCACGTGGCAGTTTGAAAAATAGTTACCTGTGATTCTTTTGGAAGGATCAAAGGTTAACATTCTATCAACTAGATCAATGGCCATGGGGTTTACATGAGGGAATGCTTCGGATAACTGCCTACGAGGGAATCGAGGCAGTTGTCGAATGTATCTTTTCGCATCCTCGTTCCTCACAAAACCAAGATCAGCTTCAGTAGGAGTGCCAAGAAGCTGTAAACATCATAAAGCAAACATTGAAACATTGATCAGTAAGAAGAATGTTGTCCAAACAAAAGAACAACAACATATGGTTAGTCTTGCCAGGTCCTGTTTTATGTACCTCGGTGAGTAAGCGCATCTGATTGACATGATCTTTTCCAGGAAACAAAGGTTTCCTGTTCATGAGTTCCATGTAAATGCATCCAACCGACCAAACATCGATGGCTGAGGTATAATCTGATGAGTTTAAGAGCAGCTCAGGTGCCCTGTACCATCTAGTCACAACATATTCTGTCATGAACTCATTTTCAGTGTTTAGGCGGGCAAGACCGAAATCACAGATCTTAAGATCACAATTTGCATTCAACAGAAGGTTGCTCGGCTTAAGATCCCGGTGAATGACATTGGCTGAATGTATATACTTCAACCCTCTGAGGATTTGATACAAGAAGTACTGCATAAACAGCAAAATTCATAGTTAGAAAACGCCACTGATAAGAACTTGAACTTCCAATTCAACAGAAGAAAAGATTATGATGAAACAAACCTGACAATGCTCCTCGGATAAAGATTGATTCGATCGAATAATCTGGTGCAGGTCGGTATCCATGAGCTCAGTGGCAACATAAACATCACAGAATTCCCTTCTGATTGGTGGAGGAATCACATCCCTTATGGCAATTACCTGCAATCATATTGGGGTTTTTTTTTTTTTTGGTTAAAATTCAAGAAATCAGCATAAGGCCTACTCTGTTTCTGAGCTACAAATTCCAGTTTCCCATCATTAACTTTGTTTGAAAACATCAAAAGTTGAAGGTATTTAACATTTTGTAAGGTTGACTTATGATCATATAAGATTCCCAAAGAGTCAAACAGTGGGATCATCATTCATTCCATCCACTTTTCAACCCATCAAAATTTGAGCAGAATTAAACAAGTTTAGACAGTACTTACGTTTTCGTGATCCAAATGGCGAAGAAGCTTAATCTCACGAAGGGTTCGCTTGGCGTCCATGTAATTATCAAAAGCATTCGCAATCTTCTTCACAGCCACCATCTCATTAGTCTCCGTATTCATCATTGAGCTGAAGAGAAATTTTGCAGTTAGAACAGAACACTTAAAACAATGATACTAAATAAATTAAACCCACAAAAATACAAGAAAATCCCACCAAAGCAAAGCATTTAAAATTACTTACCAAACTATCCCATAAGCTCCCCGGCCGATAGGCATGATGGGAGGGCGGTATTTAGAAGTGACCTCAAACAAGTTGCCAAAGATGTTGTACTGAATAAACTGACCTCCGTAGGTCATAACCGCTGGGAATTCCGGGAATTGACTTCCGTCCATGCTAAACTTACCGGCCATCAGCAAACTAGATAAACAGCTTAAATATGTGTATATATAGATGCCGGTCTCGGTTCAATAATACTATGATCAAGAACGGATTTTTTTCTCCCCTTTTCTTTTAAAAACTAATTGACTGAGTAAATGAAGAATGGATTCAGTCAGATGATACACACAATTTATATACACACAATTAAATGGGAGTGTGTGGTTTGGAGAAAGAGAAGAAGAGATTTTGAAAAGGATGGGAGTTTTTGTGTGAGGAATTGCCCGGTAATGAGGAGGAAGTCCGATAGAACAAGCGGAATTACACGGCTGCTGACTTTTTTCTTTTTTTCTTTTCTTTCTTTCTTTCTTTTGTTTCTTTCTTATTCCCATTTGACTCGGTGCTGATGATATTTTTTTTGTCATTTGATTTTTTTTTTAGTGTATTAAAAAGTTTACAATCAAGACGCCCATGTGTCGTTTCATTATTATTTTAATAATAGTAATATAATAACTTGCATTATTATATTGTAGTTTTGTTAGGTTATCTTTTTATTTTCTTTTGTTTGTTTGTTCACTTGCATTTTACTAATAGTCTTCATCCACCTCACACCTCTACGCTCAAGGTTTTTCACTTCTTTTTGACATAATTATATTTATTTACTATGCAGACGGTTATCGGGGCTGACAATCTGTTACTTCCTATGTCCCAAAATTATCGTCCAGTTTGAATTTTTCACTTTTAATTCAATTTGTACTCAACATGAAAATATGTGTATTAGACAATAATTTTGAGACGAAGGGAGTAGTATTTTATGTTCATGAGTTATTGAGCACTTGAGCAGTACAAAATTTTTAGGTGGAATATGATAAATTAAACACATATTCGTCGGTTGTTTCTTTTTTCAATTAATGAAAATTTTGAGACTTAACTCTTCCTTAGTATTAAAAAAAAATAAAACTGATTCGTCATTTTTTAATTAACTCTGAGAAATGTGTCACTTTTTTTGGTGTTAGGCTAGCTAGAATCATGTTGTCTCTTACCATAAAACGTCACGTATTAGTACCTCTTTCTATCCGAATTTCCAATCGGAATTAGGAATCAAATAAGATAGTTTTACGTATATATATTAGATATTCTCATGAAAAACTTTATTGAGGAACATACATTAATTAATTAATTCGTGGTGATGGCCTTTCGTGTGTATTGATTCTATATTTTGTCGTGACGCTCTTGTGCTGTTTTCACTCATTACAAATTATAACTATTTTCATGACAAAAATTTACGAAAGGCTATTACTTCAGCAGCTCAACTATTCTCTTTATAAATTCGTATTTTCATACGTCAATTCACCCAAAAAAAAATAAAATAAAATAAAAAATAATCAGCATGTAAAACTGAACAGAAAATTTGGGGGAGTAAATAAGGAAATTGAATGACACTAAATATGAATAAATAGATAAAATGCAATCACGAGTTTGAATTTATGTATGAATAAATACCGGTTAACTTGTTAAGCGACATTTACATTAAACGAAAGAGATCTAGCAAAGGGTAATAGTACATTCATACTTTGAATTTTCTTATAATTCCAGTGAGAAGAAACAAACAAAATGATAAGATCGGCATTTTCTTCAGCATGATAATTGAAGAAGATAAGTATCTAGTTTATCAACGAATGTCAGAATCCAAATTGGCAGCCTATAGCTTTGATGCTTCGTTTTGATTTCGTGAGGAACGTGGGCCAATCTCATTTCTTTTTAGTTAAATTGATTGAAGGTTACATTTATTTTTAATTTACAGTATTGTCTTCTTCTGGGCCACAACAAGTCAGCACTCCAACCCCCATTTTCTCTGTTAGAATGGTTTTATTATCAATAAATTTTTATTTTGGTCAAACAGGAAAAAAGGTCAAGTTGGAAACAGAGTGAACGTATTATGATCAAAGCATGTGAATTTGGTTGTAATTTTAATACTCCTTCCGTCCCATAAGTATTGTCTAGTTAGTTTAGATTTTCATTTCTAGTTCAATTTGTACTAAAAGTGAAATCTCAAATTGGACAATAATTTTGGGGCAGAAGAAGTATCACTATTAATAAATTAGTCACCAAATTGTTGGCTGTTGCTGGGATTGGACATGAAAGTTTTGAGATAATTATATTTGAGTATCACAAGTTTACACACATTTCCGTGAGACCCGGTTTGAAAAATAAAACTATTCAAAACCCCCGAGTTAGAGTTGAATCTTCTCGTTTTCCAATTTCCATAGTGTTACCATATAACTAGGGGAGGTGGGGTTCCCCTTTAATTAAAATAAAGCTTATTCTTTTGGCCAAATTAATCATTGATGATTTTTTTTAATTGATTTACTTGAAAGTCGTAGCGAAAAGAATACATGAATTCAAAGACATAATGAAACACATATCTATTAGAGAACTCAAAAGCAACATATATATATATATATATATATATTTCTTCTTCGATACCCTACATAGTACGTATTATATTTTTGTTTTGTTTCATCAAATAGTTTTATTTGATGAGTTATTTTGATTTCTTTAGAAACAAAACAACTATTTTGAAACATGCAATATATTGAGGGAACTATGCGACATTATCCAATACCCTAAGGCAATCTTATGAAATAACCCTTAATGTTGAAGGATACAACTTGCTATTAAATTAAGAGTGTGATGACAACGTTTGGTTTGTTGTGTTTACCTTTTGACAACCATAATACGGACTGTCACGTAGCTAATTAAATAAATGTTTCAACCACCATTTTATTATAATACTGATAATAATCATACTATTGAGTACGTATGAGAATTAATTGATTGCATAAAAAAAGAACTCTGATAGTCTTTGATGCTCCATGCTGGGGAAAATTAATTAAAATCATATTGTATATTACTTATTTCATTCAGTTAATTATAATGTAGTATTTATTTGACTGATTTATATCCATTCATCACTCAGAAATTAAACAAATAGTAGAACACGTACGTGTGGTGCTTGACAGTGGTACATACTCGGACACGGTTCAGGTCATTGACTTGTTTCACGTTGACCAAGTTGTTTCGCTAACACTGTCTAATTTACACCCTAAAGTAGATTCATGGTCGAGGACTGCAAGAGAAGAAATTGATTCAAAGTCCTTCTTATTGACATGGCACAAACGGCTGCGTTTAATTAAAGTTATTTGAGAAAATATGGATAATAAAACTAAATGGCTAGCTAGTAGCTATAGAGGATTAGTTGGACTAATTATTTGCCTGCTTACTACCAAATAAAATGATGATGGAGGAAACTCATCAGTCATTAATCATTATGACTCAATCCATGAATTACTTACAAGGTGGTTTGACACTACAAGAAGATGAGCAAATTAGCACCGAATTATACACGGACGTCCCATTCGAGGTTAAATTACTATGACTTCCACACAAATTAATCACGAAAAAATATATTTTCTTTTTTATCCACGAAATAGCCATGGAATATCCACGGCTTTACACTCGGACAGTTGTAACCGTGGTTATTCAAATTTTTAACTACGATAAGGTTAATAATTTCTGTAAACAAGGTTAAGGATCAATGCCCTAATGAGTCAACCAAAATATTTCAAGTCTTCGTCTTTAGTGTGAAATTTTGGTAAAAGGCAAGAGAAGGAGCAGGCTCATGGCGAAACGTTTGACATGGGACATAAGAAGAAGAAAAAAAAGGAAACCCCTGATCATATATTACAAAAACACATTCATGATGTAATAAAGCGATTTAAAACCGAGAAAAGAAAATGATCAGCGAGAGAGAAATAGTGGTCAAGTTGAGAGTATACATCGCAGATATGGGTGGGAGAAAATGACATAATATGTCCAAAGAAACGATTAAATAATGAACCAAGCAACATATTAAATTACACAATAATGTTGACAACTGACGTATTAAATGGAAGCAATGAATGAATGACACTATGATCAAAGTCTTTCCTTAATTTCTTTTGATTTTCTTCAAGCTTTGTTGAAATTCATAGTTTTGACTTTTGTAATTTAATGGGGAAGAGATTCATCCTTTACTAGTATTAAACTACAGTGAAGGAGGAAGAAGTAAAATACATAGTAGAGAGAAAATAATTAATTGAAGTTGTAAGTCAATGACAATGAGAGAGGAGTCCAAAAACAAAAACAAAAAAAATAAAAAAATAAAAAAATAAAAAATAAAAACATTGCCATGCTGAAGTAGTAAAACATAAGTTACTCTTTGGAAACATTCAAATATCTCGTCACCAAGTAAAAATACAAAAGTCAATTTCGATAGACAAAGATTGAGTAAAAGTAATTTATGATTATATTACTCCCACTTATTGTTTTGTTACTTCATGGGACCTATAAACAATAATAAAGTGATTCAAGTGGACAATTAAACAAGAATGAAACTCCCTTGTCTCACAAATCTAAATGATGCATTTCATTGTGTACAACTATGTGATTGAACCGGCTTAGATGTCAACGTAGCATCAATTAGTTTGGGAGGGTTTTAGCGTCTAATCGATCTTCCGACACCTTTCAAAAAAATAAAGATCTTCCAACTAAAGCAAACTGTAAAGTTTTTCACCTGCTAACCAAAATGGCTGTGATGGAGTGGAAGGGACTCCACTATTCTTAACCAGGTTCGAAATTTGCCATGAATATGGAGCAACTTTAAATATTTTGGACAGTTATCTCACTCATTAAGGTGCTTACAATTCAGCGAGTGGAATTATTTTGCCGACGGTAAACACCCTATAAATATGCAAAAAAAAAAAAAAAAAGTTTTTCACCCTATAAATATGCGAAAATCGGGTACTTGAATAGTTGGCTTTCATACCAAAAAAAAAATGAAAAAGTTCGTTATGTGATTGTCACAATAAGTTGGAGCAATAGAATCGAGATTTTACTCTTTTTTTCTGATTGTCACAACATGTTGTTGGGCTAGCTGTGAGAGTTTAAAAAGACTAAAGTTAACGGACTACCTGAAAGTAGAATCGATGTTTTTTGGGCCGTAATATTGGATGCTGACATCAAACATATCCATCATGCTGTGTACATACAAGACTAAAAAGTAGCACAAAACAACCTTCCAGTTCTCCATATGCTCAATGGAAGACCTTACATGGTTTCCAATTCCTGTATGATTCACATAAAATAGACCCCTTACTCCGGAACGAATAATTTGATGGATTGGTTCGATGCAGGCCTACAGCAAAAACTGAACACTGCTTCAAGCATTCACTCAAAAACAAATAAGCTTGACAAAGGAGAAATTTTTCTGATAGTAATTTTCAGATGCAAGTCAATCATTTCATGGAAATGATTTGATCATAGCAAAGTTCGCAACTGCATTCTAAATACAAAAGGAAAGGGAAGCTCAAACACTAATTATCCCAATTACTAGATACCAAAGAAATCAAATTAGGGTGCTGGCTCCCTATACTGTTTTCAATTATTACATAAACAGCTTTAAGCATCAGCGAATCCCAACTCCGAAAGTTTCAGGTGAGCCTCAGCATAATCAGCAAAGAAGGCATCCTCATCCTGAAAGTAGATCAAGGAAAAATTACTTATGCTTCAGTCAACCCGAGAAGGAAAGAGCACAAATATGTTAAACAGGTCCTTGTTTTAGTAACTGAATACAAGATTATTAGTTTCTTCAAGAAGGATGCAAAAGGATAGAAGCACTAACCGCAGCATATTTCTCAACAAGTGGGCGGAAGGCAGGATCACTCAGGAGTGCTTTGTCTGAGGGAAGCTGTAAGAGCCCTTCCTTCTCTCCACTCAAAAGCTCCCTGTTCAAACAAGACTAGTGAATTAGATCACCTGGACACAATATAGACATTCAAAACATTGTATATATTCCTCCTAAAAGCACCTGGACCACTTACGTAAAGTAAGAGTTATCAAACTGGAGGGGGTTGGCTGTCCATGCACCCTCAAATCCAGATCGCTCCTTGTGACACCTTCCCTGCAAGATCATTCAAATATTTCATTGGCACAAGCACATTGATATACTTAACAGGAGGTTAAGCATGCTCATTGTCAAATGATAACCGAAAGCCAACATACCAGGGTGTGGCCACCAGAGAGAGCAACAATATCTTTGTCAGAGAGACCCATTTGTTTGACAAAAACATCCCTCAAGTGGTCAGAGCCTGCAAGAACAGAATTTCAGATTAGCAGATAGAAATGTAGATAGGCATTGAAATGAGTTTAAATTATTTGTCTGAAAGAAGACAAACCAGGTCATGAGGTAGCAAAGGAAACATGAAGAAGTACTAACCTTTTGTAGCATCAGGGAGACGACCTTCAACTGGGGGTTCATGCTTGTCCTATGATCAGAAAAGTCCATAAAAAATTTTATCTAATGATTTTATGATTCAGAAGAAGAAGACTATCATTTTATTAAAGACAACAGCACTTTCAGGCAAAAAAATTGAAAAAGAAAGGTACTTCTATATAAGAAAGAACAGTATAGGACCATCAGTCCATCATCATCATGATTAAAACAGTGCCACTTAAGACAGTGGAAAGAGATAGAAACTTCTGAATATGAACTAACAGTACATGCAGATGTAGCAATAATGAAGTCAGTATATGCAAGTAAAAGGAATGTGCACTGCTTTTACGCAGTGATTAAACCCACATCCACTTACAATCCTACTCTTAGTCATCATTGAAATTGAATTCAATAAATCTCCATGTCCTGCTCTAGACAATATTCCCTTCCCCACATACAAGCTTAGATGAGATAAAAATAACACCATATTGCTAACTCTTTAACAGTGTAGGCAATCAGTAAAAAGCAAAAAGATTTCACTTGAATTATTTAAACATAACCATAAATCAATAGCCGGAAATAAGAGGGTATTTTGAGACACAAACAAAGATAATACATCTTTCTTGAGTCTAAACTTCACTCAGAAATAGCATAATCAAAAGACATACAAGACAATCAGCACAATATATCATAATCTGTAAAAGGAATTTCACCAACCTCCCTTCCTGGGTGGAATGGAACATCAGGTCCTCCGGTAACTTCAACAGCAACAACTCCAGCCAACTGCAATCAAAAAAAGACCGTATATAAACTTTCAGGGGACCCCATGGTGATGAACTTGACGAAGATAAAATCTCCCATACAACACACCTGATAGAAGTCCGCATATGAAAGGGTTGGGAACTGCTGCTTAATTGGCTCCAAGAGATTGACAGCAATGTGAATACCATTGTTAGCTCCATGACCTAGCTCATCCTGGAACCTCATGGTTCCAAATGGTCCACCAGTCTTGGTAGCCTGGTCAAAAGTACCAGCAGAGTGCCATCTGATAACCCAAAACAAGTTCTCGTTATCGTCAAACACACAACTCACCAAAAAAAAGTGTCACTAAATTTACAACAATGGCTACCCTAACCAAACAAACAGAAAAATAATTGGAAAAAGTTTGTGACTTACGCAAGACGGAGCATGAGAGGTGCGCAATTCTTCTCAGCAATGAGACCTCTTAGCTTCCTCTTGGCCTTATCAACAGCCTTAAGGTAATCCTCGCTCACGGTTGGGTAAGATTTGCCCATCTTGTCAAGTCTGAAACAAATTCATAAGTAAACAATTCAAATATCAGATCCAAGAAATCCAAAACACTAATGACGCTCACAGTCCCATCGAATTTTCAACTCAAAAAACACACACACACACATGTGCTATGAATGAACCAAACAAACCGAATTCCTAAACGCAATCACTCAAATATAAATCCCCAATTATGCCTGGCATCAGAACAACGAACAGAAACAAACCACAGACCAATCTCACTCCCACAAAACCTAAAACCCCAAATGACATTAGATTTAAAATCAGAAAATTCAGTGCATGCATACATTGTGTAAATCAATCCGGCAAAACAAAATTCCTTGGGTCAGAATCAGACGTGAAAACCACAAACTCAGCAGAGTCAAAGCTAGAAGATACAATCGAAGCGAAGAACATACAATCGAAACGAGAGAGTATTTAAAAACGGCATGGCATTACGAATCGGAAAATCGTTAAAGAATCACACACCTCGAGAATCGGGAATCGATGAAGTAGTGAAAATCTGATACTGAAACTGTAGCAGCTAACAAGGAAAGAATGACGCGAGTCCGGCACAAGCCTCTGGTGAGTGAAGAAGACCTGAAAAGTTAGGAAGGCATTATATACGAAGGGAGCGTGCCGGAAATAGAAGCTTCTAGTGGAAGTATATGGATCGTTGGATTGAGAAGATGTGCGGTTGAGATTGAGTGAACATTTGGACGGCTCTGATTGGCTTTTTCTGAAGGTTGGAAACGTCAAATCTGGCTATTATCAAATATGGATGGACCAATTAAGTTCCTTGAAATACTACTAATGAATTCTCAGTCATCATTGAGGACTTTTAGGTGTTGCTTTGTACGAAATGACGAAATTAGGCCTTGCACCACAAAACCACCAATATATTTGCAATATTTTGCATGAATAGATAAACTGGTCTATGTAAACTCACCGTAGTGGAAATGCAAACTTGAGTCGTATGAGGGGAAAAAAAAAAACAAAGCAATCTTCATGTCAAATAAACCAATGACATTTATCCAAAGTTGCATTTTAAAAATACAATAAATAAAGTTCGCAATAAATGAAAATCATCTTTAACCTAAATTACAATATTTTATCTTTAACAGAATCAATGAAGGTGATTATGGTTAGATTTTTGAGATTTACATCACCCAACAGATAAGGTTGTTTAACAAAACATCTATAGAAAGTATTTGGATGGCTAAAAAAAAAAAATTTGTTCTATTTTAGTTGTCCAACGTTTGGAAAAAAATCATCTCAAAATCCCTACATATTACCAAAGGGAATAATGCAGTAAATTCAAATATTAGACCATATCTCAATCTTTATTTTTTAAGATATTATGCTGTCACCGCTATTTGCTAACATTTTTTTCCTCAAATTGCTCCGGAAGGTTATTTTGGTAACTCCGATCAAATAACCTTGACAGCCTAGTGTGAACGCATTGAGTCAAGGAAGATACCATCTAGACATTTTGGTCATTTCGCCTTGCTTTTCTTGGCACAAAGAATGCCTGCTTTTTCGGATCGTTAAAGAGTGACGTGGAACTTCGCTTGTGGAGACCCCCTCGAGGAGAAAATATCCAATCGCATGGATACAGGTGGCAATTGTTTTTGGTTCCTGCATTTTTTAAAATTTTTTCCTCCACCATTATTTGTCTGTTTCATGCAGGCGCACCACGATTCTCCATGACCGTGTCTGCACCAAATAATATTCTCCTACCAGAAACGATGGAATTTACGAATGCAATATATAAATGTACGATTTTATTTTTTTTTCATTTGTCAAAAACATAATGTAGACTTCGTTCTTATTTTTATAGTATCTCATTTTTTGACTTCATTATAGAACTTCATAATCCATTTGTTAAAACTATTACTATATTGATAAGGGTCAAAACTTCACAATTCATTGTTGGACATTAATCTTTAACCTTAATTTATTCTAAATACTAGTATTATTCCCGTGCGTTGCACGATTTTTTTGAAATATTTTACTCCCTTCGTCCCATAATTATTGTCCACTTTGCCCAAAAAACTCTGTCCCAAAATTATTGTCTTTGACTTTTTATGGATCAAGTTACACATTTGTCCTTAGTAAAAAACATTATCCATAAAATCTTAGTGGTTAAACAATTACTTATGTAGGGGTATATCCGGTTGCTTAAGGTAAAATATAGTTAAGTTTGACCAAAAATAAAATCTTTCATTTTAGTAAAACTGCACAATAATTATGGGACGGAGGGAGTATATCTTTTCTTTTTTTTTTTTTTTGAAATATTTTACGTCAAATAGTACCAGAGTGCTTGGAGCAGGGCCTGGACATACCACTCTTAATAAAAAATTAATTGGGCTGGCTGGCATAAGGGGTCCTTCATTAACTGACCTTTTCCTCAATCTATAGTATTATACTAAGAGAGAAACCAGAGAGAGGAAATCAAACTTCTCCCCTTTTGACACATAGAACAAAATCCTATGTGTCATTTCCTTATAGGTTGTCACAAAAAATATTTACAATAATTATATTAACAGTCTTTTAAATTTTCAGTTAATAAATTATTATTAATTCTTAATTAAAGTATATCAATTAATTGTGTGGTAAACTTTTTATTTTACATTCCCTAAAATGAAAAAGAAAACGGAAAATTTTTAAAATCTCAACATTAAATAAGATTGATTTAAAAAAAATTATCCGATTGGCTTGAATAATAATATTACGTCTTGATTTAATCATTAAACAATATTAATGATTATTTAAAATTCAAAAATAATAAATACAAAATCATCAATGATTCTTTAATTCAACATTAAAGCTGATTGATTTGAAAAAAATTTCTGATTGGCTTGAAAATGCCATTAATATTGGTTTGATCATTAAACAGTATTAATGCTTTTTTGAAATTCGAAAATAATAACTACAAAATAATCAGTGATTCTTTAATTCAACATTAAAACTAATTGATTTGAAAAATTTTCCGACTAGATTGAATAATACCATCACATATTGGTTTGATCATTAAACAATATTAATATTATTTTAAAATTTGAAATAATTAAAAAAATTGTAGATAATATTTTTTAGAGATATATCATCAGTCATAATTGCATACACGAATATCCATTTACTTTATTTTAACAAAATCAAATATAAACGTATGCCTATAATCACTCCAATCGCATTAATCATGTGAATAAAATTATTATGTATATATAAAGTGTGCTTATAAAACTCAACTAGGTTGCAATCCCAATTTATACCGGAATCTTTTCTTCTTTTTCTTCTCTCTTTTTTTTAGGATTTATGTTTTTCTTTTTAATAATCATTATTTTTTTGTGTCAAAAGTTTTTCGCTTCTAACTTTTGGAAATTATGGGCAAATATTTTCTGCAGCAAGGATTTTTCGAATGCACATCACGGTGAGTTTCTTTACCAATCTTAATTAATGATTTCAATGTTTGATGTTTTCTTTGGGACAAAATGGCGAATATATGTTGATGATTCACGAAAATCAAATATATTTAACACGTAGATTAATATATAGATCTATTTATTTTCTTCTGAAACAAGTAGCGCATAAAAATTATTTTTAATGTAACATTATTTAACTTAGTGTTTTTATATTATATATCAATTTACTAAAATATAAAATATTTCTTTGATTTTTATTATGTTTGATTTTATACATAATTTATCTATCCCGCACACCGTGCGGGTACCATCTAGTTGCATAATGTTCAAAATCATCATGTGTCTTAATCTTCTTCCCTTAATGCCAAAATAATACAATACAAAATCTATAAACTTCAATTAAATTTTTTTAACAGCCATAAACTCCATCTAGAAACTAAAATTGTAGAATCTGGCTTAGTTGGGGTCGGGCAGGTAATCGGGTTCATCCGATTTACTGACAGCTAATACGTCGATCAGTTGCTTGTTTGCATTATAACAAAATGTATGTGAAATTTACACAACATGCTTTATGTAGGAATTATAAATTCAATGATTTGCACCACTAACTGATCAAAAACAAAGAAGGGACTTTGATCATTTGGAGGTACAGAGGTCTCACATTCTCGAGTTTTAGAGCATTCTCAACTCTAGCAAATTCAAGGACAATTGATTCTTACGGCCCCGCTAATTTTGGTAGTTAAAAAATATACTCTTTTCCCATCTCCATACGAGATTATAGTAAAAGGAAAATAAGAAAATACTGACATAATACTTTTGATATCCGAAATGAGATCTCCTTCCCAATACAAATAAGGTGAGTACAACCCGTTCTAAGGGAATTGCAACAACCGAATGAGAGTTCTAGAAGAATCTACTGTGAAATACAGTAAAATTTTTATAAATTAATCCTTTATAAATTTATAACATCTATTAAATAATAATTTTTACTGGTCCCAACTAGGGATCAATACAAAAAAAAAAAAAAAACTTGATTAATTTATAAGATAATAAGGTCTTGTATGGATGATGGTTTGTTTTAGTTTTTTGTTTGAATTTGATATGTGATTTAAAATGTATTTTGAGATAAAATAATATTATTTTCTTACTACCACCTATCACCACCACCACTCGCCTTCGCCGCCGCCGCCGGACCACTGCCGGCCGGAGGTGATCCAATGGTGGTGAATAAAAAATGTGTTAAAATGTTTGAAATAATTTTTAAAAAATAAGTTAAAATGTTATTTGGATAGTGCATTGGGTTTTGTGTTTAAGAGGTAAAATGAGACAAAAATGAAAAACAAGAGTTGGTCATACAAGACTTAAATTTTCAAGAATTCTCTACCTAAATATAGGTTTTCATATTTTCATAAATTAATAATTATCTAAACAAAAAATAATAATTTCTAGTAAAATATGAATCTATATCGTTCTTTGTTTTTTCTTAAAATCTATTTCTATGGAGATATCATTTTTTTTTTAATCTTTTTTAATACATTCAAAAGTTCCGGCGTCGCTTTGTCATACTACAACAAAAAGTT